TGCCCCAGGAAGCACCTCTAGTAGACATCTCTGAAAAGACAGTGTTTACTGCAAAAACTATGAAGAGACTGATTATACTCACCTGATCAAATACAATAAACTGTAGTTGTTCTGGTGACTATAGTGTCCCTTTAACTCATACCAAATTAATACAGAAGATATCTGATCTTCATTAAAAGTCTGCATTAAAACAATAAGGAATACAACTCATGCAGATTTGTGTATCTATGCGTCTACTATGCAACAACATATGGAGCTTTGTTATATTTGTTTTATATTCATTGTCAATATCAAATGACATGTTCCTGCAGTATTGTAATTCTATCCATTTCATTTTTCTTAATAATTCCTAATAGTTTGAAACCAATATCAGAACATTAACAAGACAGCATTGTTAATTATTAACTTGATTACATCTGAATTATTGGAAAGAATAACTATAAAACAATTGTAAAAACATGTCAATATAACAATTAAATCTTATTCACCATATGATTACTAAAAATACTTGGTCTGTCTGATTTGTTTGGTTCAGATGGACCAAATAATTTCCAATGAAATAATTTTGAGAAAATTACTTCAGATGAATAAAAATGAATAAAAAATGTATCTGCAAGATATATACATACTATAAAAAAGATTTATATATTTTACAGTACAGTAATAGATACATTTTTAATGCCATTTTGTTCACACATCAACTGAGAAGTTGCCAACAGAAAGAGCATTTGTAAATAACCTATATTTATATATTTACATGCTATGTATTTCATAATTATATAGAATATACAAATAGATCTTCTCTTTACTGCCCCTTATTTTTTTCTATTGGTCACTTGATCGGTGAATAATATTAAGATTTAGTGGCTACCCCTAACCATCAATCATATTTTATGACACCACAAACATAACTTCAAATCATGAAACTATGAGGGCTCCTGTTCTTACCTTAGTAGTCCGCCGATCAGCTGTTGCTCGGATCCGGCAAACCACTGCTGCTGAGCCCCCAGGACGATGGCCACTATGTGCCTGCTCTTATTAATGATGCAGTGCATGTGAGCCGGCGTCATGAAGTCATGGGGGCCAACCCACTAGACACCAACACATTCTTAAGTTTTGGGGCATGGTTACAGAAGACACACCCCCCAATCACATAAAAGCTCCTTTGGCCCAGCACACAGTGCCCTGTAGTGGTTTCAAGGTTTCTAGTGTCCCAAGAGTGCATTATATACTTTGTATTTTGTCTTTTTGGTATTGATCCAGCATTTCGCTGACTTTACTGTTATTCTGGCTCCCGTGACCCGGCTTTTGCTATTGTGCTTGTGATTTTCTGACTCCCTTTGACCTTGTCTTGTTGTGACGTTCCTTTAGTATTTTTTATTTTGTTCTATTTAGTCCGTCCACTCTTAGGACTGGTATAGGTACTTTCTCTGTCTCTGGTGTGTTTATATTTTGTGTGTTCAGTCATATCTGGAGAGTAACAAATGAAACAAATTCTCTATTGCGCACTTCATTGTTTTCATGATTTAGCCATATGGCGATTTGAAGTTGCAGAATTCAGACAAATCGCAGATTGCACAAAATTTGATGAATTGCAATTTTTTTGAAACTGAATTCATATAACTAATTATTAATATGTATAAAATGTAGGCTATGTATTAAATATAGGTATTATGGAATGCCTAAAACATGTTCTTCACAGTATGTTCAATGTAACATGGTCTATGTTAGTTTGATAAATCGGATGTTTCTCATATAAAAAAAATGGACATACACCATTTGATGTATATTATACATCATGTTATTCTATTAATTACATTTATTGTATATTTTGTTATCTGTGGTCATGTTTGTAAGCAAAATATCCACCACTTACTTGTGAACAAACCATTGAAAATACATTTTGCGAACAAAAAAAAACAATAATGAAAGAAAACAATATGTTTCTTTCTTACTGTGAAGGTTGTTGTCTTGTATAGACCAAAGAAGCCTGGATTCCTTGAACATATGCATTCCAAATATCTAGTATATAATACACAATACTGTAATTATTTCAGGTATCATGAATTAAATATATTGATGTTATTTACTAAGCAGAAAAACATTGACTGGGTATTATTATATTTCCTGGAACACTGTCATATATAATATAGAGCACATAAAATTAGAGATGGTGACCTTGAAAGTAAACAAGGGACAATAAACAGCATGGCAGGGTGAGATGTAGTTTCTGTCAACTTGACTTCTTATTCCATTTTAACCAAGCACCAAGCTTTTCTCATTTGTGTGTTTTCAAGTCTTCATGCGATGCCAATCTAACAGAATAGTGGAATCATTTAGTTATACTATACATATTCTTAGTTTATTGTTAACATAATTTAGCATCATTGGAGTAAAACATGCATGTATATGAATTTAAATGTTTAAAAAAATTAATGTAAAAGAAAATAAATACTTTTGAATGCATTGTGCTTGTTTCAATTTCCAGGATGTATAGGTTATTTTATGAATCAGTTCTTCAACATTCTATGGGACTGCTAAGCAAGTATCCCACCTTTCATGATTCATTTATAAATATCAGGATCAAAGCTATTTTTGCAGGATATAAGAAGCTGAGTGCAGATAGTTTATGTTATGAAAGCTAAAAGGTGAAGCTGCATTTCCCATTAAAGGGACACTATTGTCACCAAAACAACATTAGCTTAATAAAGCAGTTTTTGTGTATAGATCATGCCTTTGAAGTCTCACTGCTCAGTTTTATGCCATTTAGTATTAAATCACTTTTGTTTCTGTTTATACAGCCATAGCCATACCTCCTCTGGCCATGACTTACACGTATCTCCTGCTCTGTAATTTGAAATTACATTTGAAATTGAAAGTTATTAACAGTGCAAGAAAATAAGAAATTCTAAATTAAACAGAATCTGCAATAAAGGAAGTGTAAACATTAGACTTTACTTTGCAGGAAGTGTTTAAGAAGGCTGCGTGTGTTACTTGCAGGGAGGTGTGACTAGATCAGCATAAGGATGGTAAAGAATTAAGCAGTTAGATTGCAGAGGCATGATGTATACACCAAAACTGCTTCAGTGTGTCTGTATTGTGTGCGTGCACATATATAGTGACTGTAGAAATGGTGTGTTGACAGGGTATGCACTGTGAGTGTATCGGGCATGAAGAGTGTGTGCATGTGTATCTAAGGGCTGAAGTGTGCAAGTGTATGGGATTGCATTGTATGTGTGTATCAAGGAATACTAGTGTGGATGTAGGAACATAGGAGTTATAGTGTGTACATTACAAAAAGCTATAATACTTTGTTATTTCTCTGGTAAAATGAATATATAGACATATCAAAAGATAGGTAGATAGATAGATAGATAGATAGATAGAGTTTTGTACTAGACAATTTGCATCCATTTTTTCTCAAGTGTTGTTCATCGAATTACTATTTAACCCCTTAGTGACCAGATGACTTTTCAATTTTCTTACTGTTTGGGACCAGGGCTGCCTTTACATTTCTGCGGTTTGTGTTTAGCTGTAATTTTCCTCTTATTCATTTACTGTACCTACACATATTATATACCGCTGTTCTCGTCATGAAATGGACTTTCTAAAGATAACATTATTTTTATCATATCATATAATTTTCTATACAAAACATTATACAATATGAAGAAAAACTTTAAAAAAAACACTTTTTCTAAATTCGATCCCCAAAATCTGTTACGCATCTACAACCGCCAAAACACAACCATACTAAATAGTTTCTAAATTTTATCCTGAGTTTAGAAATACCCAATGTTAACATGTTTTAAGCTTTTTTTTGCAAGTTATAAGGCAATAAGTACAAGTAGCACTTTGCTATTTCCAAACCATTTTTCTAAATTAATGCAAGATATCTGTCAGGAATCCCTGAATTACCCTTTACATGTATATATATTTTTTTAAAGAAGACAACCTAAGGTATTAAACTTGGGGTATTTTGACTCTTTCATGCAACCATTTTACCACCAATCTATGCCAAATTTAAAAATAAAATAATTGGTTGTTTTTTTGACTCACATAGCAATTTAAGAATACATGTACTGAGAACTTTAAGGGTTACTGCCAAAGAACAGCCCAATATGTGTTCCGCAACATCTCCTGAGTACAGCGATACCACCCATGTATAGGTGTGTTGGGTTCTCTGGGGATTAAAAGACCTTATTTGGAGGGTGCGCATTGCAGTTTTCCATCTTGGAATTTTCACAGCTGGTCATCATGCACCCATGTCTTTTGTAGTAGCAACTTAGTCACGAACACTGGCCAAAGCTATTGTTTTTATTGGTTTTTTGCATTTTTTCAAAACAAAAACTGCACTTTTAGTGGTGATATCATCATTGTGATAATATTTACTGTTTTACTGTCTCCTGAGTATAACAGGATTTTATAGTGTTTTTGAAATTTATAGGGTAAAGTATAAGGCTTGCCCATTTAATTTTTTTCATTGAAATTTGCCAAATTGGTTATGATGCTTTGGAGACCGTATGGTAGCCCAGGAATAATAATTACCCCCATGATGGCATACCATCTGCAAAAGTAGATAACCCAAGGTATTGTAAATATGGTATGTACATTTTTTTCTAGTAGCCACTTAGTCACAAGCACTGGCCAAAGGTAGCGTTCATATTCTTTTCTTTCCTTTTTTCACACACAAACAAATATAAATGCTAAATTTGTCCAGTGTTTGTCACTAAGTGGCTACTACAAAAGACTGGACATACCCCATTTTAAATATCCTGGGCTGTCTACTTTTTAAAATGGTCAGTAATGGTAGGGCTAATTTTCATTTCTGGGCTGCCATACCATCTCAAAGGCAACATAGGCAATCTGGCAAATAGCAATTTACAGAAATAGAAATTGGCAAATCTTATCTTTCACCCTGTAACTTTCCAAATCACCAGAAAATCTTGAGGAGTACTGTTTTACTTGTAAAACATTACTCTACATGTAGAATGTAGAATGTGTGTGTGTGTGTGTATATGTATATATATATATATATATATATATATATATATATATATATATATACACACACACACACACACACACACACACACACGTTTTTATTTCCTATATATGTATAATATATTATTAAGTAAGTAAAACATTTTACAATATATTATACATATATAATGCATATATATATATATATATATATATATATATATATAATTACATTATAAGTGTATTTTGAGATATATGTGTCTTATAATGCAATCATATATATGTATTATATATGTGTAATATATTATAAAATTATTTTATAATATATTATACATATATAATTTATGTATAATATATTTATTTGATTATTTTTATTTTTTTACACTTCAGGTGTCAGGGGGACTGCCTGATTGCTCACGCAGCCCCCCTGCTGGCAGCTCCATAGACTCCAATTGCGGCCATGTAATCATGGTGATTACATGGCTCTGGAGGGCCGGAGAGGCCAGAGCTGCCGCAGGGGGACTGCTGGGGTCTCGGGGAGTCCCTTCCAATGGGGATCGCTGCAGATTGCTGGTCCAGATGAGTACCCGGGTCATTTTAGCCGCGGACGTGCAGGGTACGTCTGTGGTCATTAACTGCCGATTTTTGCCCTGCACGTCCGAGGTCAGGAAGGGGTTAAAAAGGATTGCAAAAAGGATTGCAATGTTCTGACATTTGAGTTGTATGCACCAGTACTATGTATCTTATATCTACATTTCAACGGATTTGACCTTGACTTTTGTAACTTGTTCTTCATCTAATTTTCTGCAAGCCTTTTATACTTTTCCTCATTTCGACTTGAATTTTGCCTTTGGGCTTTTGGTACCACCAAACCAGCTTTATCCTGCCAATGCAAATCCTCTGTTAAACCAACCAAAAGCAGTTGATGAATTATGATTTATCTTGATAAATTGACCTATATATAAAATATTTCCTTCACACATAAAAATTTTGTTTATTTCACTCATACTTGTATTTACGTAGATTCTTAAAGTACCACTAATCCTGTGCAGTATGTTGATTTCTACAGTTTTAAAACAAAATTACTCTGAAGACAGTGGGGAAGTGAAACCAAGAAATATGGGGTAGAGTATGTTCATGAGTGATATGGCTAGCATTTATATGATTTTGAGTAGAAGTTAAATATTTGCAGCTTCAATGTAGTTCAAACCAAGTAAATTTTACTGCCTTTTACACTTTTCTGAATGTTGTCATGCCACAATTATATTAAATGTATGAAGTTCTGTGAAGAGTTGAATTCTACACCCCTGTGCATTGTACTCTGTACCGGTGTAGTGTTAACTAAGTATTTCTTTATGTAGTGTGCATGGAGGAAAAGATCTGAGGCTCTGTAGAGTCTACTGAATTATCATAAAATACGGGCTTTCCAGAAGAGTGTGAGTAATGAAAAAGAGAAGGAAAAATGGATTGCAAAATAAAGAGAATAGAAAAAGAAAAGACTAAAAGTATGGTAATAATAGACAATTACATTTGTATATTTTCTTTTTATTTTTTTCTCATGCTCTTTTCCCTCTTACCTTCATGTTGTGGGATTGAAGTATCCAGCAACGCTTACTATTATCTTTACTCGTGTGACTTCTATTATATGTATTATATGCTGTTTTTTTATTTGGTTTAATGGAACTAATTTAAAATGATGTACTATAATACAACTATATAGCATTATTGTATGCAGATGTTATGTTTTTGTGGTTTGCTATATTTAAAAAAATAAAATAAAAGTATAAGAAACATTAAGTTATAGAGTAGAGGTTGAAGGGAAATAATAAACATGGAAAGGTCCTAGTGCACTGTTAAAATTTAGCAGTCATATTAGCACAGCAGCAGCATGTAGAAATTAAGGCAGAAAGGCAAATTGGCTATATAGAGAGAGGAAGTGATGAAAGAGAGAGAGAGGAAGTGATGGAAGACATGACCATAACACGCCTCACCTCCAGCACCAAAGAGAACATAGAGCACACAATAAATCCTCCAATACATACAGACCAGTAACCAGCAATCACCGCCAACATGCACATCCCTTACGCCTTCCTCCACCACTAGACAATGAGGTAAAATATAATATGATGATAGGGTTAGGACCCCTAGTCCATTAACAAGAGAACCTAGTCCCCCTTTCCTAATATGAATAGTGCTAAAGGATGTCCAATTTCTCTGTACCTGATAAGAAACCTTGAAACCCCTTACCCAGTATAGGAAGAGGAGATGTCCAACCTCCTACTTATGGTTAACTGATATCCCAATGGTAGTTATGATCTTCATTCCCCTGGTCACCTCATTATCTCAATTCAACCATCACTCTTAAATAAAATTACCTTATATAACTTCCCCTTCCCCAGATAAGTATTATGTTGAAAAGGCTATTTTAGCTAATAAAAATATAAATTAAAGAAAAAACAAATAATGTGATAACATTAAGGAGAAATGGGGAAAAGCTTAAACTCCATAGCTTATCCTTTGCTTCATTCCTGCATAGATTTTAAAAATGTATTTGCTTACTTATGCCATTGTAAAGGACACCTATACTGTTTGCATCAGACTCACCCTAGCCATACGGGCACAGTTCTCATTGACAAGCCCAAAAGAAGGTAAAAACATCTGTACTTGGTTGCTGCATCTCTCATGCAGAGGAAACATTCCTGCATTTTGTATCTAAACTGCCCTTCTGGACAGGATCAGCCTGATGTGCCAATAGAATAGGTTCTGACTGTATTGTCAAAACTAACCAAAGGCAAACTATTTTATACTTCCTTTAACCCCTTAAGGACTGAGCCAAATGTACACGTTTTGATCAAAATAAAACGTAAACAAAACTTGGAATTTGACTATATGTCTGTTCAATCGCAATTCACCTCTTTCATATTAAGTACACCAACACATATTATGTATCATTTTATTCAGGAGAAATAGGACTTTCAGTTAACATCAAATATTTAGCTATGAAACATAATTTAATATGAATAAAATATCAAAAATGTGAGAAATTAAGATATTTTCTTAAATTTTTTTTAGTTCTTCATGACATTATCACTGTGAATGTTATAATACTGTTTGCTTTTACTACGAGAAAATACACATATTTGTATCCACGATGTCTCACGTGTAAAACAGTACCTCCTATGTACATGTTTTATGGTGTTTTGGGAAATTACAGCATCAAATATAGCATGTTACATTTTTCTGTTTTTTCACATTGAAATTCGTCAGATTGGTTAATTTACATTTGAGACTGTATGGTAGCCCAGGAATGAAAATTACCCCCATGATGGCATACCATTTGCAATAGTAGACAACCCAAGGTATTGCAAATGGGGTATGTTCAGTCATTTTTTAGTAGCCACTTAGTCACAAACCCTAGCCAAAGTTAGTGTTAATATTTGTTTGTGTGTGAAAAATGCAAAAAACTAATTTGAACGCCAATTTTGGCCAGTGTTTGTGACTAAGTGGCTACTAAAAAAGACTGGACATACCCCATTTTGCAATACATTGGGTTGTCTACTTTTGCAAATGGTATGCCATTATGGCATTAAGGGGGTGATTTTATTCATGGGCTTCCATATGGTCTCAAAGGCAACATAACCAATTTGGCAAATTTCAATGTAAAAAAACTGAAACACAAGCCTTATATCTGACTCTGTAACTTTTGAAAACACCATAAAACCTGTACATGAGGGGTACTGTTATACTCAGAAGACTTCTCTGAACACAAATATTACTGTTTTAAAACCGTAAAACGTATCACAACAATTATATTGTCAGTGTAAGTGCCGTTTATGTGTGAAAAACGCAAAAAAAGTCATTTTCACTGATGATATCCTCGTTGTAATACATTTTACGGTTTTGAAGCACTAATATTTGTGTTCAGTGAAGTCTCCCAAGTAAAACAGTACCCACATGTACAGGTTTTATGGTGTCTTGGAAAGTTACAGGGTTAAATATAGTGCTAGCAAATTAAATTCTCTGGACTTTCTGCCTGGGTAATAATAAAATGACTTAATATATACGTAGAATATATATATATATATATATATATATACACACACACACATACATACATACATACATATATACACACACAAACACACACATATATATATATATACACACATATATTATATATATATACACACACACACACACACACACATTTTTTTACAATTATTTTTATTTATATATAGGTATTAATATCAAAATACAGTTGGAACGAAATTACACATTATTTTGTATTATTTTTCATTTTTAACATATTCATTTATTTATTTTATAATATATCTAATTAATTTCATTCTGCGTGTATTTTGATATTAATATATATATACACATATTAATATTAAAATGCACTTAGTGTACGTGTGTGTGTGTATATATATATATATATATATATATATATACACACACACACACACACACACACACACACACACATATTATATATATATATATATATATATATATATATATATATAATAAAATAAAATTTTATTTTTTTTATTTTACACTGCTGGCACTGCTATGGACGACTATTCCGTCCATGTGATCGTGAGATTCTCGCAAGGACCTCACAATCACATGGCACGGGAGTGCCAAATCAGCAGCACGGGGCCTCCCTGGGATGAAAGGCAAGTCCCCCCATTGCGATCTCTGGCGGGGGATCGCCATTGAGCAGGTAAGTCCCCTGGAAGGAATGGACATTCTATGACGCCCGCAGGTGTTTAGACTATGCCCTCCATCCTTAAGGGGTTAAAAATTCCTTAATAACCTGATAAAACTGACCCTAAATTCAACAACAGATGGATGTTGTGAATTATTCTTTTCATGGGGAACTATTTTGGCATGCTGCTTTTTTCTCTGTCAATTAAAAGGTGTTAATTAAGCATGCTCAATCACTGTGAGACCCCAACATATGGCAAGAGAAAGCTGAACACCCTCTCACTTTTTAGGATAATAGCAATAAATTAATAAATAATATCAATGCAGGATCCATTAGATCACACAACTAAATGAGATTGCATCTAATGTTCCTCTTTACCTTGTGTGGGTTTGTGGTATGC